AAAGTTAGGCTGGGAGCTGTCTAATAAGTTATAATAAGTGACTTGTCCACAAGCAGTACAAACAGAACATTACAGTTATCAAGTTTCACATACGATAAAAATGTCCCAAGAAAACAGTATGTTCTATGTGATCCTATTTGGAGGATTTCTGTCTGTTATTAAGGCAATTTTGTATCAATTTTTTGTCTTGATTCCTGTAAATATATCTTCCACATATACAATCTACTTGCATTAGCTTAAAAAGCAAATTTCACTAGGTACAATTTTAGAAGTATAGATGTACAGTATTAGTAGATCTCTGTTGGGAATTACTTCTCCTACCAATTTAAAATATATGTATCTATTCTGGATTTTATATGCTTTGAGACAAAGATTAAAAAAGATCTCCACACCAGAGAGACACTGATCTCACCCTCAGAAAGCCTGCTTTTTAGAAGCACCCAGCAACACTCCATGCTCGTATCTTCCCAAATGTCTTTACCGCAGTGCTTCAGTCTCCTGTAAGGAACCACCCACAAAACCAGTGTTGCGAAGTCTCCTGAAGACCACTGCTTTGCAGCTAACCTGGGTGAGTAGTGGCGAGCAGGACCAAAATCAGAAGATGGATGTTCAGAGCGGAGAAGACTCTCAGTTTCCTGGTTGCTACCAAACCCTTACTGCAAGCACTGTTTATAGCTGTTTGCAGTATTAAACTTCAGCTTGAGCCATGTACTTACATTTGCGTGCAATTCCCAAATTATGCAGCAAAAGGAAAAGGACTACTCATGAATTCAAAGCTATGTATAATATCGCTGAGTCAGGAGCTTCTTGAATTAAATCAAGGTTTCCAGTACAATCACTTTGCCTGCAGCAGTTTCACTAGCAGCAGCAGCAATACACTACACACACTCCCTTCTTACTGGTCCCTCCTGAAGGGCAAATGGTTCCAAGTTCAGAATGACCTCACCGATTGAGAAGGTATTGCTACTTAAAATGCTTACAGTGACTGAATCTCAGGCAATCCAAACACACTGCAAAACCACCAAAACCAATCTCCATTTTATTCATGGCAAAGCACAATGGTTTGGCAAGACTAAACGATGTGCCCAGGGCACTACACTCTTAATAGTTGGGAATGCCACACTGGAGCGACAGCGCTTAACATTTACTTTCAAGACATTGGTAAGAATTGAAGTATTGACAATGTTACATTTGTACAAAAGTAACCCATTGGCTTCATTGAGTTAGTAGCCATGACTTCTACACTGAGCTCTACCATTTGCTCACCATCTCCTTTGTCCTCTCCGTGAATTAGATTCCCATCAGGGAAAACAGGCCCAGAAATTTGATGCAATTTGCCCAAGGTGGCTCAACCAGTACCCAGTCCCCTGCAGGTTCAAATACAGTTTTCAATGCAAGTAATTTTGGAATAGTTATGTGCTGGCTACTAATGAAATCCAAAGTATTTGTGATTTTGATAGCTGCTACTGAAGAAAGCAGGTGTTTCAGTCGCTGTTTTTTTTTAAACATAATCAAACCATTTAACGCTTGATGAAATACAAGGACTTCCATAAACTGAAGAAAATAAAGTATTAAAACTATGTTCTTACATGCCCTTTCTTAGCATATCACAGTATCTTTCATGCTTTACTCTTGGTGCCAGTTGGATTGTATGTTTCAGTAGAGTCTTGCACAGAGCTGGCTACTTTGAACTTCTGCTTTTAGTTATAATCTGGAAGTATTTGGTCTGTGAAAATACTGTAAAGTGTTAATATTTGAGAAATTGATTTCTGATGTCAACACCCCAACTATAATTGCATTATTTCCAACCTTTAGTGATAACGTGAACAATCAATTTCATGAGTCTATAAAACAAATACAAAATAATCCTAGTAACGGTGTTTTACTCTTTTATTCTGCCTTTTTTTTTGCATGAAAACTACAATAGTGTGATTGGGATAAAGGGTAAGCAATGTTTGTGCCAGCTTAGACAACATTTCAAGATTTCATATAAAAGCAAAAGCTGATTTTAGAATTCCTGTGTGGTTGTTAGCAGTGTTTCACACATGGGTATGGAATTTTAAATGGTCATTTAAAACCATAAAGCTAATTAATCAATCTGTTACAAAGCAGGAATCGCTTACTCTGGATTTTCTCATGCCACTGAGATGGGATTCCTTTCTGACAGACTATATTAAAAGAATAAATTTTAATAAGACTTTGAATGATGGCTGCAGCTACCTTCATCCTGAAGATGCTTTTAGCACTCACATTGCCTAGACAAGCACAGATTTTTATCCAGCTTGAAAGGCAGCTTTTAATCCAAGAAGATGCCTTCAGAGTCAAAAGCCAACACATGTAACCATCCCCACAAACACAAATCCAGACTCTCTCACAATCTGGAGGTGTCCACATTTCACAATGATGCTTAAATGTTTGTAGGACAGGCGAAGGCCTTAATGGATCAGACTTTTAAACTTTCTGACTTGTCAAGTTGTTATAATTGAAATGATACTGAGGTTCTGCCTCTATCTGACCGCCTTTGTTGTGGAAGTAACTGGCACATTCGGAGTCAGACTCTCAGACCAAAGCGGTGTTTTCAGTCAGGTATTACCACCTGTGGCCAAACTGTAAACTATGTCCCTCCCTCTTCAAATCTGGACTTCAGAAGATGGGGCATTTTGCAGCCCTGATGGCCTGAACACACGTTTGACACCACAGTGTGATACAACAAACAGAACTCTAAATTTTCAAGGGATCAAACAGTACCAGCGTGCTTACTGCCCTGATCATTCATAGCTTGATTTACAGACCACTGTAGTCACTGACACAGCAGAGAATGCACTGGGAGCTTCTATAATGCTCAGTGTTGTGATGAAATTTTTATAGCCCAATTGCCTTTTATTTGAAAGCTAATTTTAAATGCAATTTTTCATGCAATTGTTTCTTAATGTGCAGTAGTAATTAATTTGCTTTAAGTTGCCTGAGATTTTCCTAACATGGTAGATAAGTGAGACCCAACAGCAATTCAGGACAGGCTGATCTACTTCCTCAGGTATCCATTCACACACACAAAAAAGTACTTCTGCTTTGTAATTTAGAGGACCTCTGAGGTTACGATAAAAACTTCTGCCCTTTCCTCCTGGCACAAGCCAATTCTACTCAACATCTGCAAGGATTCATGAACTTCTGAGCAGACCCTGCATTCCATTTTAAAGGCACAGAGGAAGGCCTCGGTACTTGCAGATGTCAAGGAAGGAGCAATGCGAACGAGGAGCCATCTTTCTGCTTTTGTCTCCCTCTCACTTTTGACGTCCTGACACAACAGCCCACTAGGAAGATGACGTGGGGGGAGAGATATGCCAAACTCGTAGAGGGCTAGAATTTCCTTCCTCAGAGCAATCTCTACAAACTAAAATAACGATAAGGCATTTGCCAACCTGCTAACTATGATCTCTATGAAATGACAGTGCCCAAGTCTCCAAATCACTTACACGCACACACCTGCAATGCCGGCAAACATGCGCATGTGATAAAATCTGCAGTGTGTTTATGGATCTATGGATCTCCTCCCTTTCTTGTCTGCAACCTTCTCCTGCTCTCCAGTTCCTCCTGGAGTTCAGATTATTCTGTGTTTTCCCCATCCTTTTCTGTGCACATACTGCTTTCTGTCTCCTTCCCTCTCTCACATACCCTTTTACCCCTGCACTCTCATCCTACCCCAACTTCTTTTCCCCTTTTCTCTACCCCACAAATCTGGCTTCTTTAAATTTCTGATCCTTTGAAGATCTCTCCTTTTATTCTTCCCACTAAGCCCAATGATAACTTCCTCTCCCCGAAAAAAACTTTCCTTTTTCCTACCTACACATAGATGGGATTGCTCGCCCTTTTACTGTGTACAGTCCCTGAAGGCTGTCGAGGAGAGGAGGACAAGGACCACTCTTCTCTCTTTCCAGAACAGGCAGTTTCTCTCCGGAGAGGAGCTTCTCAAGAGGCATTTCTCTGGCAGGGTCACAAAGCAGCCTGACAATAGCCTTCCTTGGCTGCATAGGAAATGCTTTGATGGTAATTGACTCTCTTCCCCAGGCAGAGTATCAAAGTGCGAATCAAGGCTTCCCCTGGAATTTGGATTTGGTTGCCCGAGCTAGAACAATAGTGGTGATGCTAGACAGGCTTGATAATGGCTTCTATTTTAACTTCTGCCTTTATTTTTTTAGAGCTGCCTGTCACTTGGCATTACTACTGTGCTTGCTGACCAGCGATATGTTTGTTTTCTTGTACTCCCTGCTTTTGTGCAGCTGTATTCCTCTACAGATTCCTCTAATACCTTCACTGCAAGCTCTGTGGGGCAGGCTGATTCCTGCCCTGTTTGCAAAGCTCAGTACAGTGGGGGCCGAGGCCCCTTCAGTGCTCTGCTAATTCACAGCATCAAAGCCTCAGCTCTGGTCACAGACAAGGAGGATGGTATTGGCAGGAAATGAGACCTTTCCTTGCTCCCCGGAGCCTGACTACTGCCTTGCATCAGACAGAGCAAAAAAGCAAAAGGGGCAGGATGTGTGCAAGGAAAGAGTTGAAAGAGTGCCCAAGTGAATGGAAAGTATCCAGATGGCTGTGGTAACTCACACGATGGGAGTCAAATCAAAACAAAATGAAAACAAAACCATATGCCATGTACCCTTCGTGCTCTTGCTCTTTCTCTCTCTGCCTTTCTCCTGGCTGTTGCCCCAGGTCTTTCTATCAGTATGGATAATAGTATGTTACTCAATTATGTGTATGTCATGAATAACAATAACCCCTCTTTTACATTAGAGATCATGGATTACTATTATTCATGTAACAAAGAACGTAATATGAACCACAAAATTATACTCATTTAAGGGTCAAGGAAGTGTAAGGGTCTACAAGGGAAGTTATAGTTCTTCATTAAATCCTTCTTTTTATCTGGTACGCTGTATACTTATAAAAGAGAATATTAACTTTACATGTCTATGTTGCTATATGCTATAGAAATATCTACTCACAACCTGCTTGTATCTCAGGGGGAGTATTCAAAAGCATCATGGCAGTGGCAGCATCAATGTCAGGATCTGGAAAAATCAACCAATAAATACATTATTTACAACTGGGCTAATCTTCTTGCCCCCGTTGCTAAACTATAGGTTCAACCAAATCTCTGCAGTGTAAAGGTCTAAGAGTTCATTATTCAGAGGGCTTGTTGATCAGACATTGAATTTACCCCCAAACTTGCATGTGATCCCATTGCTACTATTAAGTAGAGTGCAGTGATGAATGTCACCAAACCATAATCGTGTGTGCATGATATCTTCGCTGTTAGCCTCATGAATTCACTATTTAATTCTGTGTATTTAGATTTCTGAGTATTTAGATTTCATTACAAAGGATCTGTGAAAGCAGGTGCGACATCACAATTTAGAATCAACACACAGGGATGAGCAGACAGCAGAGTGGGAAAGCGTAAGGAACACCTACACCTGAGCAAGTACAGAAGATGACACTCGGTCATTTCGATTTCTTGATAAGGATTTCAGAGATGTTTGAGAAAGTGTTGGAAGCCAAACCGCTACAATTAAGGGGGAAAAAAAAAGAAACTAGCATTTCATTGAAGCACCAACTTATTTGCATCCTCATCCATTGTCACTTTAATATAAGCAAAAATCATCAGCCGGCTGCTGTTATTCTTAAATTGGTTTCTGAATCCATCACGAACAGTCAGTTGACAGATGGTAAGTTATAGAGACAGAACAAAATATGATCCTTTTATATCTATATTCACTGGCTTCACACACAGCAGCTCGGCTGCTATGGAAATGTAGGTAGCTATGACAACAGTAAACAACCCCAGAACGGCCACTGAATAAGCTGAAAAGAACATCTGCCCCAGCAAAGCGTCCCAGCTGCCCTGGGGCACAACTTGCTAATCGTGCAGTGATGCCGTATGACAGAGAAAGCCGCCCATGCCATGTCCAAATAAATGAAGTGTGCAATCGAAGCAGACATAAAAACGCACACCCTGGCCGACTGCTGCCTCTGTGCTGCTAAACTGAATGACTAATGAGTATACGTGTGTTGTTTGGGTTTTCTTTTTTTTTGTCAGCTTGTCAGTATTTATACTAAATTACATACCAAAAAATTCAATTTACTGCTAATAGCTTCATGGCACTTTATTTTGGCTATTATGTCAGAAAATTACTTTTCGCTGTTAAGAATATATGTATATTGTACCTTTATATATTTCATACCTATTTCCAGTAAAGTTATGTGGTATAACATCCTGCAATTTATTAACAATATAAATGATGTAGAGAAGATTTCAGTATCTGCTTAAGCAAAACAGAAATTTGCTTGACTGATTACAAAAAAAGGGATTTTTTATTAGTTTTAAGTATGTACTATTTTTCTGTCAATAACTGGAAACACACTTCTAATGGCTACTCTATTATTTAATTGCTGAAACAGTAAACAGAGCAACAGTGTCACGGGTGTAAAACTAAAGTTGAAGCAGCAGCAGACTAAATTATTATAAAAGGTGCCCATGTTCTGGAAGGCAGGTGCTTGTCTGGACAGGTCAGCATATCCTTTTCCAAAAGTCACCAGCAGGCTACCAAGAAAAGCAGCTCTACCAACTAATGTTCATCTTCAGGTCTGAAGATACATCAAAAGCAGTATTCCTGAGGCAAGCATCTGCGCTGAAAGTGCCATGTCCAAGCAGCTTCACTCCTGAACACGTGCCATGGTGCAGGCCTGGGTCCACGTACAACACAGCCCCCACACATGGAGTTTCTCTTTAGTCAAACCAAAGAGGGCTAATCTATCTAACATTAAAAAGCGAGACAAAAAACCAAAGAAGCCTGAGAAATAAAGCCAAACCAAACAAGAATTCTTCCATCTCTTTCATAGCATAAAATCAGAAGATTGTTAGAAATTGAATATACTGTATCGTGATTCGTACAGCCATCTTCAGCATTGATCAGCTGTTCCTAAATTTTGTTTTCTTGTTTTGGGTTAGATAAGGTCTCACCAGTGGGTAACATTGTAGCATAATGTTAATTTTACTGTTGAAAGAATAAAAGGACATAACCAGAAAAAACACATTCCCTGACTTGGAGTTTTGTTAGTGTAACGAACTCTGTGCTCTGAGATAAAATTGATGTAACCAGTTCATCTTGAAAGGTGCATTCTTAGCCTTTGGACCACTAATGGTACCACCATGTTTCTGTAATGACTTCACGACACTAAGGCGAGCTGTTTACAGCACAAGACTACATCCACAGCAGCTGTTTTCCAAAGCACAAGCATGATTCAAGCCCATCCACACCTGCTATGGTGTCTAGCTCTGTTTCTACTGCTATATTCTTGAAGAAACCAGACAGCTATTCCATAATGCCTTGGCAGAGGTAAGACGGCTTGGAGACACGCACTCAGGGTGCTTTGGGTTGTCCTGCAGAGAGAAAAGAAAAAAGGAGGGACTGGGTGCACAAGGAAGACAAGGGCCGAAGGCTAGCAGAGACCCCACAAAGAGGTGCAGAAGCAACGTCCAAGGGAAAACCGAAAGGCCAGTTCATTCTTGCGCAGCGATTACACTCGCTACTTGGAGGTGTTCTCCTGAGTATGACATCAAGAAGAGCCAAGAAGTAGTCACGAGGAGCAGCACTGAAAGCAGGCGAATGAAAGGCGCCTTTGCTGGGACTGGCATTTCCTGCTTAGACTCCTGGTACCCACCAGTGACCCTGTGCTGACGGCCCTTTTCCCGCAGCTGGCATCTTTGTGAAGCTTCTTCCATGCAGATTCTCTCACTTCTGATGGTAAGGGCTGACCTCGCGTGGCAGCCTGACCAGCCTGGGAGCTGGATCCTCTCCCTTCCACCTGCCTGTCTGCATTCGTGAAGCTGTGGATTTTGTAACTGAGCTCTCCGCCCTGCCTTAAGTCTGTGATCAATACAAGGGCTCCTGAAGTTATTAACAGTGGGTGGTTAGTGAAAAATGATTGCAGGAACATCCTTCCCTAGGAAACCAGGTTAAAAATAACTATGTACGAAGTTTCGGAGTTTAGAAAATTAAGTATTTAAATGAATGCATTCTGGTTTCTTTTTACTAATTAAAGTGGTGAATTGACTGCATACTCAAACTGTATGTTCAGTTTTTGCTAGTGGGAAGTAGAAGATGCCCAACATTCCCAGTGAAAGAAGAAAGTAAGGAACAACAAAGACAAGGAAGGATTGTGGGTGTTGTACGAAGAAGGAAGAGTATGTCGAAGTCTCAAACAGGCAACATCGGAGAGTGACAAAAGAAGTGACAAAAATTGCCAGCAGTCACAGCTCTCTCTAACAGATGACTGCTGTCTATAAATTCAGTGCTTCATGCTACAATCCGAAGTTTCAGTGCTTGGCTCCTCATCGATCAAGTGTCCTACACAGGGTATCAGAAAGGACCTGGAAGAAACCTTAAGCACTTAACATGAACTCGTAAGGCATGAAGGCATACATCCCAATGCAGTTCAAAGCCAACAAAGAGCAGAAGCTCCACCACAGTTGCAGCACCTCCCTCTGCAGTGAGACTCTACTGTTACTTTTGCCAGCAGTGCTTTCAAAGACACAACTTGTTTTCATGAAGGCAATACCAATAAAGGATAAGTCACAAACACCATGGCAGGTCTGTTCGCTGCATTTTAGATTCAAGCCCCTATTCAGTAAAGTGTTCAAAAGTAAACAAATAGTAAAGAGCATCTAGTTCTTTCACTGAGGAACTAACCTACAATCTATTATTCTGTGGCATTATGATCTAGTGCATATTGTCTAGACGTGCTTTGAGCCAAACTTCACTCTGCACGTTACCTGTATAGATCAGAATCTGTCCTGCATAGACATGTGAAGTGGTGAAACAGTAGGCATGAAATATTTTGGCATGAGATTACATACGAACATTCAGCAACACAGAGAATAACCCTCAAGTAGGAGACTGTTTATTCTAGAATTGACAAAAAGTAATTAAAACCGAACAGGTACCTGAGAAAGCTGGAAGTGACAGCTGTCCTTTTATTATGTTGTGATCTCTGATCTGAGTTAATTTCATCGAGGAAGTGTTTTATAATAATTCACATTATTTTGATATTTTTATTTCAAACTTTGACCTGATTTCACTGAATGCTTCAAATCCATTCCCTTCCACCTAAACCGTAATAAAGATTAGGGTAACACAGTCCCTCTTGATTTTGCTAAAGGATATTTATTTTTACAGCCATCCTATAAGGTTTTAAAGAAAACAGCAGTTGAAGCAGTTCAAAGCAACCACGGCCTGAATTTTCCAGCACAGATGCCTAGAGAGAGGCACTTAAGATGCATATTTAGGTACTACTAAAATGTTACTGCCAACTGACGTAAAAAAATATAGTTAGTAAATAAACTGCACCATCTGTACACTACAACCATTGCCATGTTATCTCATCAGGAAGGAATTTATAAGATCTTCTTTTAATTTAAAGTTACAGCATCTAAAATAGAACTATTTTTGTAAAGAATTTCACTTCACCATTCACATAGTAGTTTTTGGCCCCTTCTACTTCTGCCTCAACATCCTGCACTGCTTTTTTCCATTCAAATGCTCCTCTCCAGCTGGAATGCATGAAATTTAATGCCACTGTACTCAGAAGTCCAGTTTATTCCTTTTCTACAAGATCAGTCTTTTTATTCCCTGCCTCAATTCCTAGAGCAGCCCATTACATTTTTTGTGATTTGATTCTTTGATATTTCCAATTTTCAGCAGCAGGAAAATGTTGCAAAAGCAACACTCTGTCTTCCACCTTTTACCTTCAGGCTTATTAAACTGCAACAGAGCAAACAGCAGCTTGCCCCTATTTAACTTGTCTGTTAATAGATGTGCCTTTTCCATTCCCACATCATGATGGTTAACCTTGGTACAAGTCAGGTTAGGTCAAAGATATAGGGAATAATTAATAGAGTGAAGGCTTTTTTTCCCTGTTTTCCTCCCCTCCCTATTTTTAATTTATTTTGCTTGATGACAGAATAAGAACATAGCTGTGAAAATCAAACTGCAATGTGCAAGATAGAAAG